CACATTCTCAGAAGCCAAATAGACTCAGCTAAAATCCAACATTGTGATTTGGATCAAAACAAACATTCATTCATTACTGCAGGAATGTGAGTTAAAATTCATTCATAAAAGAGGAACCTGAAAGTGCAAACACTAAAACATAAACACCTTTCAGGAAGGTTTTGGCCTTTGGGAGCTATGTGATGGTTTTCAGAGAACGAGGCGTGTTACAAGACCAGCTGTGACGAGCCTGTGTGGTGCTAATAAGGTTTCATGGACAGATTGCTGAGATGATATCATAGCTGACAAACTGCTCAGTGACTGGTGTTAACACAGAGCTGTGATTTAACCTGTTAGTGAGCGGCTGAGGTCGGAGCAGCACTGACGACGCACAAACAGACACGGTGAACGAGCTTTGTAAGATGCGTCTGTGTTGTGAGTGCGTGCTGGGTGGGGGGCTGACCTCAAACAAAGCCAGCACAGGCTACAATTCTTTTTCTGTGGGGGCGAAAAAACACACAAATGGCTCAAAGGACAGTGAGCGGAGCTGACCTTTGTCTGCTCTGTTATGTGTATATTTGTGAGTGTCAACATGCACACACACCACCCACTGACATTCACAACTCGCTGTGTCCTATTCCCCCATAGACAGAGTAAAGAGCAGGAGCAGGCGTACAGACAGCAAGGCAAAGAGAGATTATAGAGATAAAACAATAACCAGTGCAGAGATAGTCCTGAAACTAAAAGTATTTTAGACCTTAAGAAGTTCTCCTGTGGTCCCTGACAAACCAAAGGGTCAGAAATTAGTTTTGTGCAGGAATCCTCCTCCCAGCAGAGTGTTAGATTTTGTATAAAATGCTGGTGGTGAAGTTAAAACTAAAACAAGGTGCTGCTGCACTGCTCCTGGCTGTGGGCTGCAGGTACTGCTGAGTGATGAGCTGGCTGAGGTAGAGCAGTATCTGGCTGTCATCCTCACCCAGCCCCAGCTGCTCCTGCAGGAAGCAGCGGCGTCGGCCCTCCACGGCCTCGGGCCCCTCTGAAGAGCTGACCGGTAGGTGGAGGTGGTGGGTGAAGGTAAACAGGAAGGCCCTGGCTGCCAGGCGACAGAGCGTGCCCTGAATGTGAAGGAAATAGGTGGAACCACGGCGAATGTAGGTGCGGTGGTCAGCGACGTTGGCAAGTAGCTGGCCACGATACGGCTGGCATCGTAGGGTCCTCTGGTCGACATCCAGGATGGAGATGTAGCGACTGTAGCGGGATAGGGAGTAAAGCATGCTGGCACCCAGAGGGGACGTCACTCTGGGGGGGAAGAAAGGCAGACAGTGCCATGGGAGACCGCTGTGTTAGAGAGGTGCTGATTCAACTGTATGAACATAAGTTTGTGCTCCTGGTGCATTGTTTTGTGTTATATGGATGTGTTTCTAGTATTTTGTCCACACCATTTACTTATATCAGTGAGGCTAAACTAAGTGACAGGTACACCTCTGTGTATAGTGCTCAGGTGATCACAAGTTGATACAAACTACATGGAGGAAAGCATCATTTTCAAACATCACATTCATGGAGACTCAGGGGTTCTGTGAGCACCGAGTTCAGGGTTTTACTAAATCTATTTTATTGACATCATCTGTCTTCTCTTTGCTCATTCTGCTACAAATCTTTCCTGAGTGTTGGCTAAATGCCTAAAATGAAGATGCAAACTGGAGCTTCTCCACTCCATCCATACCTTTGCAATCCAATGAGTTTCCACCTCTGCAGGTCAGCAAGGGTGACAGGGCAGGACAGCCAGGTTTGAACCCTCTCTCCACACCTGCCAGGACCTGGCACAAAGAGGGCCAGGGCAGCAACCAGTCGGCGGACTCTCCCCTCATCAACCCCGAGCACCACTAGAGTTCTGCCGCTCAGCAGGCACCACAGAGCTTGCATGGCAAATGGGTATTGTCTCACAAACTTCAGGGCTCCTTGTCCAGCCTTCTTCCTATGACGGAGGGTCACCACCCCCCCGTAGCCGAGAGGTGATGCAGCCCGATCAGATCCTGTAGAGGCACTGATGGTGCAATCTGACCCATCCTCCACTGATATACAGGAGACTGCATCCCCCAGCAGCCCCACAGGCAGCACCAGCCCAGTTGCAGGGCTCTCTGAGCATGGAGAACCCACAGCATAGTCATCCTGGATTGGAAGAAGGGCATGGGGCTCCTGGTTGACCACCAGGGTTTGAAAGGGTCCTGGCTGAGAGCTTTGTCCCAGATTGGGCACTGCCTCTGGGGAAGAAGCCTCATAAAAGAAACCCTCCTGGGACATACAGCATGCTGTGTCTATTGGAACCAGCAAGTCAGAATCCATCTCACAAGCCCCGTCAGTTACTCCTTCACAATCATCCTCCCTGCTGGCCTCCAGCTCAGACACCACCTCCAGCAAAGACACAGGTGTCTGGTCTCCCCCGTTGTCACCGTCATCCTCCCCTCCAGTGGTCTCCAGCTCTTCACTGCTGCTCTCCCTCTCCAGGTCAGTGTTATGGTCAGAGGTCAGGTCAGAATCTGACTTCAAACCAGTCACACACTGCTGCATCTGTGCCTGAGCCATCTCGCTCTTATCGCTGCTAAAGCTTCCTTTGGTCTCCTCTGAGCTCTCCTGGGTCCCCAGAGTCTGGTCTGAGGGGGAGGACTCCAGGTGGTGCTCCCCAAGCCCAAGCTCACTCTCATGAATAGAGGCTGGGTCTAGAGGATCTGGAGGCTCTAGCGCCTCTAGCTCTAGAGGTTCTGGTCCTAGGACAATAGGAGGCGGATTTAAGCGTGTATAGTTGTCTGCAGCATGGTTCACAGCACAGAATGGTCTCAGTGGTCCCCCTTCTTCCTCCTCATCACCTAGGTCCTCCTCAAACAGGAAGTTGGTAACTTTCATCTTCCTGCGCAGAGCCCTGTCTAGACGTCGTGTGTGCAGATAACACCGGTCACCTCGGAAACTCCTCTCCGTCTCCTTCAGGAGCTCCACAGTGGCCTCGTAGAAGGTCTCGTCACACAGCTCCTGGAGGCTCTTCAGGCGCTTGTCAAAGCACTTGGCAGACTTAGCTTTGATCAGCTGTGGCGTGTAGGACACCCTGCGTTTAGTGCCCTCATCTTCCTCCTCCTCCATTTCATCACCTCCTTCATCATCAATCTTACCCTGCCCTCCCTCTCCTTTCCCCCCTTGTTCAGTGTAACTGAAGGGGGTGGCAAGCTTGGCGTATCTCTCCAACAGCTCCTCACACTCGCTCAAGCACTCGGTCATGCATTTCTGGCAAGTGGCAGCATGAGGATCCCGGCGTGGACGGTGATGGTAGGAGCTGATCTGTCTCAGCAGGTCTCTGTGTTCATAAATGCTCTTTTCCACATTTGCAAGCTCATTGGCCTTCTCTACAGCATAAGCAGAGTACATGCGCTGAAGCCCCGCCTCTCTCTGCCGGCCCTCCTCCCTCTGCAGCACAGAGTGAGTGTACCTGAGGGGTACAAGGCAAAGTTCATACAGGAAAACACAATTTATGTCAAGAAGAGCATCAAAGTGAGAGTGAGAAACACAAGAAACACTGAAAACCTGCAGCCTCTGACATCATGAACTATCAAGGCTGGGGGTCATAAGCCACTTATTCATTTGCCCTAAGAACATCTGTCTCCATCATCAGGTCACACTGTTTTGGTTTATGTCCAAATAATCAATCTGGGGAACACACGCACATCTTCCCAGGTAACAAAAATTCTCTCATCACTCTCGACTGCTTCCTTTTAAAAGCTCCTTCTCTATTGTACCACTACTGTACCTTCTTCATCAGGTACAGAGGCTTCAAATTAACTCATGTCAGGAACAGTCAAATTCAACCAGAGAATTAATACACATTTCCAAGCAGGACTTAATAAAATGTGTCAAATTATCCTGAATGCCAGCATTAGGTACGCAATTCAAGAGCAATACATCAACAAAATATTATATAAATACACAAAAACATTACAACCTGTTGGTAGTATTTTCAATTTTCCAAATAATTTGATGCCTCTGTACATGATGATGAGCCAGTGTGAGTCAAAGTGGTGTACTTTGTCTAGATGTAACTAAGATTTTTAAAAGTAAGTCCCTGTGGAACACATTATGACCAAACCGCCCTCAGCTATACTCTGTATTTTGTGCTAATTAGCAAACATGCTAACATGACAGTGAAACTAAGAGACACTACACCATTAGCACTGTTACTGTAAGAATGTTAGCACTTAGCTCCAACTTTGCCAAAGTAAAACCTCATAGAGATGCTACCGTGACTGTAGATGCTATGTCTTGTTGAACTGGATGGCACGAGGCAAATTCTCCAAAGTCAAGAAGCTCCGAGTCTGACTGACTCATGAACTGTGCACCATCATATTACAATATCGACTGAGGGGAGTCCTGAGTTATTAGGTTTAGAAATACATTTTAGAAAACTGAGAGTGATCATGTGTCAAAATTTAATTTAAGAACTTTATTATTTTGGTTTATAATGTGCTCACGTGCTGTGTATTCCTAAATGAAATTATGTTTAACACAAACTAATTAACACTAAGAAACACTGGAGTCTGTATAATAATAATACACTGGTATTATTCCAGTGTAGGAGCAATGGTTGGTCTCTGGGTGTCTGGCAGCTTATAGATGCCATGTATAGTCTAATGGGAACTTCCCAGAGGACAGCAGGGTTGAGGTGTCTATAAGGAGCCAAGAGCACATTTTTCCTACTGTTTACCTAAATTGATTACAGAAAAGGCTTCATAATGAAATATCATATTTGTATAAAGATCTGGATTTAACCCCTTGTGTGAGACAGCAGGTAAAGGGTTGCACTGAAGGTCTTACTCCAAATCCTGAAGCTTCCTCTGGAGCTCCTTGGCAAAAGCCCTCCTGTTCCCAGCCTTCAGACACTCAGAGGCCTGCGAGAAGCGGAGGGACAGCTCCTGAAACTGCAGCATGATTTTCTTCTCATCTGCTGAGACATAGGCCATGCAGAATGGTCGCACAAAGCCCCTCGCCTCCAGGTCGTAAAGTGTAAGGTGATGGACATAGGCGAACGCCCCCTCCTTTGAGTCACCCAGCACCACCCTCGAGTCCTCCACAAAGCTGAGCCTCGGGTATCCACTGCCAGGTGGATGCCCCACAAAGGAGGCCTGGTAGTCCACCGACATGATGCGCAGGGAGAAGTAGTTGAGGTCGAAGGTGCCACAGACTTTGGGGTTATCAGGGATGGTGAGGAGAGGCTGAGGGCCCACCTGCTCAGAGAACTCAGAGATGAGGATGAAGTCTTTGGTGAACTTGGCATAGGAGGTTTTGGCCCAGGGGTTGGAGTCAGCCAGTGGATGGAGAGGGATGGAGAACTCCTCGGGGAGCGCCAACGAGTCAGAATTTGTCTGGCTATACTCATCCTCTTTAGTGAAAGCCACCACGTCAGGCGAGCCTATCATAGTGTTGTCGTCAACCAAGGCATAAGAAACACACAGTGCAGCACCATTCACGGTCATAAACTGTAAAGTACTGTCAGAATGACCATTCTGCTCTCACACTGTCCAGGCAGTGCCTTAGTTAGTGAGGTTAAAGGACTGTGGAGCCCAGAGAGGGAGAGGAAAAACAGAAAAATACAACTGCTCTATAATTTAAAAGGGGGCCTCAGAACAGAGTGGGCCCAAAAACCAGCTGTGCCCCTGCAGGAGCCAGTCCCCACCACATGGGTTTTGATCAAATTAAATAAAATATTAAATAAAACACCTCAGTGGAAATACAAGTCTGACTCTTTGCTAACAAAAGCAATTATCTTGCGCCAGTCACTGGGTCCGTGGAGGCAACAGACCATTCATGTTGTACAGAGAGAAAATATCACGCAGCTTCTCGACTCCTCCTCCTTCTCATGTCTCCGTACGTCGTGTCCATCACGTTTCTATGTTCTGGGCTGATATGCAGGACGACAAAAACAACGATGACAGACGAAAGCGCTCGGACTAATGCTCGTATCCAGAGAGAGACGCCATGTTTACCCAGCTGGTTGTAGTCTTGTCATGTGACCAATGCGCCAGCCCCTCCGGAGGAAATAGACCCACGAACAGAAACTCCACATATTTTGTCCATGATGTCTATAATTTGAAATGATCAAAAAGTTTCATTAGCCCTCAAAGTCACGAATTCGTGGTCATATTTACATTTCAGGGGATAGTTGTCACACAAGTGTTTATGTTTGCAGCAGAGCTAGATTTAAAAAATAGAATCGGTTCCTCATTCCAAACGACTCGGACGTTATTTCCCGGATTTGGGGTTTGTTGTTGACTGTTACATTTACAGCACTAATATTGGTGCTATTTATGGTTAGTTTTTGGTTGTATGTCGTGTATTTTGTCTTTTAAAATCTTGGGACTATGTTGGAAGTTGTTTTCAGTGTAACACGTTATCCCGGATTTATCTGAGCATTTGAATATATACTGAAAGTTCTCAATAAATCAAAAACAGTTTATAAACTCAAAGATCTCTGGCTAAAACACCTGTCTCAGATTATTGGCTCTGGTTCACCTGTACTTAGCCCAGTTATTGTGCCAGACTTTAGGTTACAGCTTCCTAAAATATGATAAACTACAACACAAAGGCGTTTTCATATTTCTGTCCTTGCGCCCTTCTTCTCAATACAGAAATTCTGTCTTACAATTCTTTTCAAAGGAAACTGTTTGCTTGTTACGAACAAAGTATTTGCATTTCCCTGTTGCTCCGAAAGCCAAAGAGCTTCATTTTAAAACCTTGAATGGTATATATCATCCAGTGCTTTGTTGAGACATCGATTTGGTATTGAATCCAATAACTGTGTATTTTGTGACGGAGATGAAAATGCAGAACATCTTTTTTTTTCCAATGTACGTTTGTGAAGAACTTCTGGCATGAGATTTTTGTTTGGCTCCAATCAAAGATTCACCTCCTAAATGACTTCACCCAAAAAGACATTATTTATGGACTCCTGATGGACAATGCCAACGCTGACTTTCTGATCAACAACATCATCATTTTTGGGAAATTTCATATACATAAAGCTAAGTATATGAAAATTGTACCTCGTTTCTGTATATTTCTCAATGAGTTTCTTGTTTTTGTCAAAGCCCTAAGTCTAATGAAAACCAAAAACGCTAATACCAAAGCCCTAATTTTTTTAACATGACTTTTCACTTTTAATTTAATTTTATTTATTATTATCTATTATTATTATTATTATTTTGAAATATAGGCTACTGAGTCGAAGAACACTGTTTAAAATGTAAAATGTAAGGTTCCTCAAGATTTCCAAAACGCCAAATTCCCAGAAATATTAAAACAGCATAATGCAAATTCAAATATAGGATGGATTTTCTGCTTAATGTTGATATAATATGACATTATTTTTATCAATATTATCAGAATGGAAAATGTATTAATAGTGATACTATAATAATACATTATATTGATATATACATGTCACTTTGAATGATCTCTTTTTATTATTATTATAAATATATTTTATTTAGGCTTTTAGAACGCTCAAGGATTTTACGACATTATTACGACCTTCATACGGCAGCGTTTGACCGGCGAGCGCGGAATTTGTAAACACAGCTCCCGGTCACATTGTAAAGATTGATGTAGCTCTTTGAGAAGTTTTAATAATCAGTTTTTCGTGGCTTAGCATTATTTTACACCATCTAATTTGCCCGCTGTGAAGTTAGTCGACCGCTTTTAGCCCTTTTCAAAAGTTTTAAATGGTGGATATTGTAGCTTTAGTTAGCTATCTCAGCTAACATGCTAACACAGTGGAGAGCCAGCAGAAGTGGGTCTGCCCGGAGGACCGGCTACCTCGCGTGAGGGCGGCCAGGCATGTTAGTAGTGCGCCTCATCGGGGGATCCTTGCCTCGATCGGGACTACAGCAGCGGGGTTTCTGTGCGGCGCTGAGTGTCCGGTGTCCGGAGGCACCGCGGCAGGAAGACATGATCCGGAACCGGGCTCAGATTAAGCGGGTCCTCTGCGTAGCCGAGAAGAACGATGCAGCCAAAGGCATCTCAGGGATCATGTCCAACGGCAGAGCCCGGAGGGTTAGTCATGGCACTCCAGTTAATCTCCAGCAGATAATGTTATTAGTGGCTATTAGTGTTATTATTAGCTGGGTCGACGGAAGGATTTTCATCTTATCTCTGTTTTCAGTTTTGTAAATTACATAAAATATCTTTGTTATTTTGACTGTTTCTCAGACGAAACAAGCAATATGAATCTCAGAATCGGCTTTATGTGTGTCGGACACACGAGGAATTTGACTCTGGTACATCGGCTCTCAATGTGTATGTTCATATCCAAAGGGCAAGTAAACAGTAAACCAACATAAGGCTAGTACAACAAAATGTTCCTGGAGTAACAAGTAGCTACCATGGAATAAACAGTACATCTCTGATGGCAGACGAATTGTGTCAGGACATGTTATCACCAAACACCTTCTATCCTTAGACCCAAGATTATGTAATATAATCAAAACACAAACTCTTGGAAGGGAACAGCAACAAGAACACCTGAAAACATCACACAAGCCAACACACCTGCACACAATCTACAGCCACAAATTCCCTAGATTTTTGTATTTCTTGTTGGTTACTCCAGAACTGACTGTCTTCTTTTCCATTTCAGAGAGAGGGAATGTCAAAGTTCAATAAAATCTATGAGTATGAATACAATCTCTTTGGCCAGGTAAGTGGATGCACTGAACAATTGATATACAATATACACATGTGCGCTTGTATGTCTATTCAGTCATGTTGTCTCTGCTCCAGAATGTGACAGTAACAATGACGTCAGTGTCCGGCCATTTACTGGCGCTGGAGTTTAAAGCACCATTTCAGAAATGGTAAGTTAGTTAATGGTAAGTTAAACATTTTGTTCATACATTCAGCCTCACACTGTTTCATAACAGCTGATTGCATTTGTGTGTGTTCTCTCACAGGCACAGTTGCAATCCCGTGTTGTTATTTGATGCTGAGGTAGCGAAGTACTGTCCAGACAACATGGTACAAATCAAGGTGTGCTCATTGACCATCGTGCTTGTGTGTCAGTTAACTTGTGGGATCTATCACTGTTCGGCAACATTGTCTTTGCAATAATGTTGAATTGTTATTAATCGGAGTAGCCAGGATCATTTTAAAGCCTAGACCAGGATTTGCTCAGAACCCACTTTCATTTTTTTTTCCTCAAATAAAAACATGATTTGGTATGTGTATAAAACTGGGACAAACTACACCAGTAGGCCCTGATGAAGTCTTTTCATCTCTTGGTAGTAGGAAGTCACCACTTCTCTTCTTCTTTTCTCACTTTGTCTTCATCTTTTCCTTTAGAGGACACTAGAGAAAGAGGCGAGGCAGTGCCAGGCATTAGTCATCTGGACTGATTGTGACAGAGAGGGAGAAAACATTGGCTTTGAAATCATAGATGTCTGCAAAGCAGGTACGATATATATACAGTCAGGGAAAAATGATTTGAACCCCAGCTGATTTTGTAAGTTTGCCCAATAACAAAGAAATGATCAGTCTACAATTTCAATGGTAGGTTCATTTGAACAGTGAGAGACACAACAATAACAAAAAAATCCAGAAAAATGCATTACAAAAAAAGTTATAAAGTAATTTGCATTTTCATGAATGAAATAAGTATTTGATCCCCTATCAGTCAGCAAGATCTCTGGCTCCCAGGTGTATTTTATACAGGTAACGAGCTGACATTGGGAGCCCTCTCAGCTCGTTACCTGTATAAAAGAGACCTGTCCACAGAAGCAATCAATCAATCCAGATTCCAAACTCTTCACCACGACCAAAGAACTTTCCAAGGATGTCAGGGACAAGATTGTGGACCTACACAAGGCTGGAATGGGCTACAAGACCATCGCCAAGCACCTGGGTGAGAAGGTGACAACAGTTGGTGCGATTATTCGCAACTGGAAGAAACATAAATTAACTGCCATTCTCCCTTGGTCTGGAGCTCCATGCAAGATCTCACCTCGTGGAGTTTCAATCATAATGAGAACGGTGTGGAATCAGCCCAGAACTACTCAGGAGGAACTTGTCAATGATCTCAAGGCAGCTGGGACCATAGTCACCAAAAAAACTGTTGGTAAC